TGGTTTGATCAGCTGAGACTTGGTGATCTGTCTGTTGTCACTTGCCCCTCAAACCATTTCAACCGCACCCCCTTATTTCTCTAGGTCTCACTCCTTCTCTCCCTCTCCCTCTCCCTCTCTCCCTCTCTCTCTCTCTCTCTCTCTCTCTCTCTCTCTCTCTCTCTCTCTCTCTCTATTCCTGCTAGGGGGAGCTCTCAGGCTGTCAGTGCCTCGCTCGCTCTGCCAGTGAGAGGGGTAGCAGCGTGTGAATGTGCAGCGTAGTACGTGTGTGTTAATCAGATGTCATCAGTGCTGAAAGACCACATTCACCTCTTAACTGTCAACACCTGCACACTCTGTACTTGACTGTCTGTGTCTTCGTCACACTTTCAATTTACACCCGTGTGCTGTAAATTCAACACTGACTGACAACTGTAGCCCTCTGTGTGTGTGTGTGTGTGTGTGTGTGTGTGTGTGTGTGTGCTGCAGTGTATTGACATAACATTATATATCTTAGTTTTCATGAATTTAATGTTCAGTCACATTTTGGAACCTGCGACACACTCTTATTCAGTCAGTAAACTAAATCATAAAGTCGTGTCAGCCACTCAAACTTCCCCGTCTCCGGTTAGTTTTTGGGGGTTGTGGGGCTGCAGGTACAAGGCTGTTCTGCTGTTTGTAAAGAGCGCTTCATTCCTACCACTGCACCGGGGCAGCACGGTGGCTCTGTGCTCGTCACACTTTCCTTCCTCCCCTCGTCGGGACTCTCTATCATCACACATGAACCCAGCTAATACCACAGTCAGACTGAAACAAATGCTCAGAGTTGCAGTATTTCTACGTTTTCCTCTGATGCATGTCTCATGTTGACATGGTAATCCAGACTTCAGAGAGCGGTGAGGAACCTGAATTAAGTTTGAGGTAAACCGATTTTTCTTTTACTGCAGCGTCAAAGCTGCAAATACACTGCGATTGAAAATGATGAACATTTATTGTCAAACGCATCTGAGGTTTGTTCTAATTTTTGGGTCTGTATAGATTGGATGTAACTGTTCTACTGTACAGTGCAGTTATTATTTGATGCGGAGATGTGAGGAAAACAGCTACAATAACTCAGATGGGCGACGTTGTGATTTCCTGATCAGAACCTTAATTCCCAGTGCCAACACAATGCCATGCACATTAAGAAAAGAAGGCTAGAAAAGTATATTTGAATTGTTTTTAGTAATTTGCAAATGAAAATAATATTCAGATTTTTAGATATGTGCCACTGAGCGAGCCACTTTAATGAACATTTTTCACGTCCTGAATTTAACAGTGTCTTTGGTGTTCCTTCATACCATCGTACATTATCACACTGCGTGTGTGTGTGCAGTGCATGGTTTGGAAATGTCGGGGTGTGGTAGTAGCTTCGAGTGATACATGACTGTGATGCTGCAGGTGCGTGTGCGTCTACACAATTATCATTGGTCTTGTCTGGCAAAACTTGTTCTGGGAAAGATTTTGGTGAAATTATTGATTTAAGGAAAAATTGTAAAATGATGTCGAAAAATAGCGGAGAGCAAATATTTTAGAATCAGCTTGCCGCTAATACACAACGCCACTTGTGTCTGTGAATTGAATGTGACGGTTTTGTGGAGAAAAAGGAAGCCAACCCCAATGACGGTAGCCTGCTCAGAGACTTATTCCCCCTGATGAGAGGAATTCAAAGCGGTGCCTTTTTGGCCTTGACATGAGCCAAACAATATCTTTTAAATAAACACCTGTAGCTTTAGCCTCACTGCAGATACTGTCCATGGTTTATCAAGAGTGTTATTTTTGAACCGTTCATTTTTAGACACTCCATTTCCTTTGATTTTTTTGTTCATCTTCAGCCCTGGTTAACTGAAATCCTATTAGCGCTCCTGCCTGACTCACCCGAGCCTTATTAGGCAAATCAGGCCAAAGTGACGCTTCCTCTTTTACATCTGTCATTTGAAGGCACGCTGTTGACTTCAGCGCACCACATGTGCACTAGTCTTTGAATATAACTGGCTTGTAATTAGTGTTTACAGTATGGTTATAATGATAACATGCGTATATTACAACTTTCAAGTGTAAATGTAATAATATTTCTGTGAGTGGTAGATCGGTGCATACACACACACACACACACACACACACACACACACACACTGGAAGTCAGCTGTGTGTTTCAGGGCTGTCTGTCAGTTTTTGAAATCATATTTCTATAATTGTTAATTTCTCAGATGTAGTCTGGTTTGCGGGGTCCTGTGTTTGTTCCAGGTCAAATCACTAGCTTTATTCTCGCGCATGTTTCTGACTGGAGTAACACACTCCACTGTTCATGGCTGTTCATTTCAATAGCGGTGGACAGATGGCAGCAGCCTGCAGGCCACACACACACACACACACACACACAAATAACTTACACAATGCATATGTGTGTGTTCACATGGTTCACATGCACATACAAACATGATACGACATGTATCATTGCAGTACAAACATGCAATGTATACACACATGCAGAAGGAGGGCAGGAGGAGGCGGTTTGTGGAAATTGGGCCGACCGAGCTTCAAACACTGTACACCTGCTTGCACACACACACTTCCTGTAGCTACGGCTACAGGAAATTACAGACAATTGTTCTATTTTTTTTTTTACAGTTTTTTAAGATTTATTATTAAATTATATGAATTATGAATTAAATTATAAAAATGGTTAGACTAATGATTGAGATGCATACAAATTATGTTTGGCAATATGTCTATGTATATGTATACATTTGTTATATTTGTTTATGTGTTAACATAAGTGTTAACAAGTGTATACATATAAGTATATATTTATTAATTACATTTCCTTCATTTTTCTGTTCCTTTTTCATTATTTAAGTGATTCATTTGTTGAGAGTTAGTTCCGTGATAGTTGCAGAGGCGAACACACCTTATCTGTGTCATATTTAAAAACAGACCTAACTGAGGTGTGGGGTGACCAAGCTGCTGTTAATCCATCATATTATTCAGAGAGATGATGTTCATGACCGTACAAACGAGGTTGTATCGTGTTTAAAGGCACCTGCTCTGTCGAACCACATTCAAAGGTGGAGCGCAATGTATCACAGAGAGTCACAGGACATCATGAAACATACAAGCGGGAATAAGGCAGCACTCTCTCAATCTCTCCTGGAAAGATTTAAATGTGTTGCATTCAGTTGTGCACACAAAGTATTTAAAAAATGAGTTGAGAGCTTGAAAGGGACGTTAAAATGTTTATTCTTCAGACATCTGTACGTCCGTCTGTGACCTGGTTGCTGTATTACTTTAGAGAGTCAAAGACACACATTTTTTTGTCTGATCATTTCATTGGTGGGTTCTACTTCACGGTTAGCTTGGGACACCACATGACAACAGAACAGTCATACAGTTATCCAGGTGAAAAGAAAAGGACACACAGCAGCTCCTTCAGTTTTTTATTAAATTGCCCAGTGTCACTTTCCACCCTCATGTTACCCATAGACCATCTTTTTTTCTCACTTAACAAAAAAATGTGTGAACTAAACAAATTACAGGTGTTAAATCTTCTGACATGTCTCTTCTGTTTTCTTATGGGATGGCAGAGATTGAGCATCCAGATGGAAGCCTGCTCTCCGACTCCTTACTCCCACAGTCGCTTGGCCTACCTCCCCACCCGTTGGAGCCCAGCCTGGTCCACGCCCTGCCACCTGGACTTCACGCCGACCACGACCTGCTGACATGCGGCCAGTGCCAGCTGACCTTCCCGCTGGGCGACATCCTTCTCTTCATTGAGCACAAGAAAAAGCAGTGCCAAACGCCGCTGCTGGCCAATGGCTGCTACGACAAGATGAGCGACCGCGGAGGAGGGAGTCCCACTCTGCAGGGCCTCCATCACCACGGCCAGCGGGTGGAGCTGAGGAAGGTGCTGGAGCCAGTGGAGATCGGCATTCAGGTGACACCTGAGGAGGAGGAGGAGGTGGGAGGAAGAGGAAGAGGAAGGGATGGAGGTGAGAGGGGAGAGAGGACGCCCATCAAAGGAATTTGCCCCAAGCAGGAAAACGCACTGACAGGTAGGCATGATGAACACACTCTCTGACACAGAGTGACACGAGAAAATGTAAATGTCTAATTTCTGTGTTAAGTACGGAGCTGGAGTTTGGACCTGGAGTGGATATGTAAAAAGTTTTTACATGTATTTGTGGGGTGTTTATGGTGGAACTATTTCTTCACAAACAACAGTTACCCATTTATGGCATATTAGCTTAGATTAGATTAGATTAGATTAGAGTAGATTATTAATTTGGCACCTTTAAGGTAACATCACTGTGTGGTGTTTTCCCCCCAAAAAACAAGAGCCAGAAGTCTTACCAACAGAGTTGCACCATAAGAAGCCAAGCTTTTGCATCTTATCACTTCAAATCGGTGTTTTCTCTTTTAACTGGGAGACACCAAGCATCACTTCTTTTTTCTTTGTTTGTATTTTTGTGCAGTGTTACAGCACTGTGTTGCTGAGCTCCACGTTTTGTGCAGTGTTTCCTGCTGTAGCGTTGGTTATAGATACAGTTAGTGGTTAGCACAATTTTAGGTGTGTTTCTTGTAAAGGCACCAAACCTGGCAACCGGGATGATTCACACACACCCGACTGTTGTCAATAAATAAATACTCCCAGACTTTACATTAAGTTGTAGTACTACTGATCTAGACAACAGAGTATCAATGATCAGTGAGCTTTAGAGATGTGGGCTGACTAGTTGTTTCCCCATGCTTCCAATCTGTATGCTAATCTAGGCTAACCATCTCCAGATCCGTACCAAATGCACTGACATGACACTGGTATCAATCTTCTTATATCATTTTCAGAAAGAATTGCTCAGCATAGGCCTATTTTCCAAATTCTTGAACTTGTCTTTTAAGAAGAGGGAAGTAGTACATGGGGCAATGAGGTGTTTGGGACAATATCAAACCTGCAGTTTTTTCATCCCATTAAGTATAGTGGACTTTTCTTACACAACATGAATGCATGGAAACATAGCCCATCCTCTTCAGAGTGATGTTCATTCCATTAGAAGGTAGGACAACAGAAAGAAGGGAGAGAGGGGAGAGACAGGCACATTACCCACTCAAAGCCCTAAACCCCCTCAAGGACTCGGCTGGTTGAAACAAATTGTGCAAAACATGACAGAGAGACTCACCCTGACTTTCATGCAGAAATCCAGCCTAAGCCGTCTGCTTAAAAAGGTGAAAAGCTCATTAAAATTCAAATAAGCAAAGGAGGAAAAAACACTATGAGAGGAAAAGAAAAAAAACTGAGAAAGGGGGATTAAAAAGAGGCTAGTTTCTCCGCCATTCAGTTTTGTAAAGAGGCATTTTAGCAGGAGAGCTGCAGCGGGAGGAAGAGCAGCAGCAGTTATCTCTCAAACCAGTCAATATGCTCAAAAGAAGCCAGAGGGGAAGAGCAGAATATTCAGTCTGCCAGGAGAGCACCTCTCAGCTGTCCTGCTTTCTTACAGGTCAATGTTTTTAGAAGAACAAGGCTGCAGCTCAGCGCTCAGCAGCTGCTGAAATTACCCACAAGCCAACAGTTAAATCAGAACTTCTCAAAGATGAGAACACAGACAAAGAATATTTGTCCAGTCTGACATGTTGGGCGTTGCACAGCTCTGTACTTTGCGGAGCTGTTTGTATTGGCTCTGTCCTGTAGTCAGTAGGTATGTTTGGATATTACTATATTGTGATACTTTCCTTTCATGTTCATAGTTTCAGTCTAACATCAGATCCATCCCGGCACCTCAACCAGGGAACTTTCACACAGGCTCATGTTCCTTTTTAGAACACTAGAAAAAATATTTTCCAAGGAAAGTCATGTTTATTTATATGGCAACTTTTACAGTAACTTGATACACAGATAAACCCTGACAGAGACAAACTAGCACTTAGCAGTGAGGAGGGAAATAAACAAACAAATACAAGTTTGTCTACAGAGTAAACAGCCACATATTAAAAAATGATATAAGATAAAGTTTCTATCGAAGAATAACCTGATATAAATAATATTTGAAAATCAGTGTTTTAACATCATGTGAGAGGTGCCCCTAAAAAAAATGGGCACGATATGGACACATCATTACATGGTAATCCATAAACAAGCATGTTACTTGAATAACGTCAGTAATAAAGCTCAGCCAGTGCTGATGAGCTTTTCCAGAAATTTAGACAAAAACAACAAGTAAATTCATCATCAGCTGGCTCGAAGCCAGGGGAAGAAGTGTTCTCACAGGTAACGCCCCTGACTCTGCCAGAGCAGCACAGAGCTGTTCTGAACGTGTCACTCTGCGGTTTGGCCTGCGCTGTAAAACACTGTGTTTGGGCCTGAAATTCATCAATAATTAACCAGGCTGTTACAACTGTGTCAGGCAGCCGCACAGGGCTCCTGCGGACAGCACCGCCACCTGAACCTCAGAAAGCCCGCCACTTAGCTCTCTAACTGCGCCTCCACTTTGCATTTAACACACAACTTATCTGAGCATCTGCAGAGCTGCACTTGGGCGTGTGCACTCACTGTTTGGCGACAGTGGGCACAGTATTAGGTCTACATTATTCATATTTATGTGCAAATATATTTTTCCTCCTGTGTTTAAATGCCTGTAATATATCTAATTGTAATCCTCCTGTGAAATCAACTCCACATGTGCAGCGTTGGAAAGCTTCAAATTGTAATTGCTCAATATTTCTTCATAACAGAACGCGCAATAATTTTCACATTAATAGCAAAAACATATTAGCGGCTCAATTGGACGCGCACTATGGCAACTGTAAACTATATTGCTGCAATAACATTTTATGTTCCAAAATTACCCTCGGTATTTCACAATTTCCACATGAAATATGTCCAACTAGCACCTTATTAACACGCGGAGAGGACAGAGGAGTTTATTAATGGAGCTGCAGTTTAATTTGGTGAGAACATGCTCAGCCCGGCTCATAATCACCGGGGGATTGAAATATGGCAGGTGGATTTTTCTCTTTGTAACTCAGACTTTGCTTTCCCTCACGTAGATTTTTACACCTTTCATTATCTGGCGGAATGGGGGAAAAAAGGGCGAGACACATAGGGGAAGCAGGAGAGCAGAGAGAGAGAGCGAGCGAAGGGGAAAAGTGATCAGGGAGTTTGAATGTCAGCTCAGAACACGACTGACGACAACGCTTCATAATTGGCTCCCAGTCAAACGACTCCTTTATTCTCAAGCTTTTTCACTTCCATTTGTTCCCCATGTTAAAAGGAACACACACACACACACACACACACTTACATGTGCATCCGGACAGATTTTTTTGTAGCTCTAAATTAGAAGGTGTTCTTCTTGCAGCAGCAGAGCAGAGGCTCACAGAGCTTTTCTCGGTGCTGATGAAAACTTCCAGTGATTTTAGAGAACGGACGGTTTCTCCCTCTCTGAGGTTCCACACCATCTTGTGTTGTTTAGTCCTGTTGTTTCCTATTATTTCCTTTGTCGACAGCAATCAACCAACTTAATGGTCACAATTTTTATGATTCTTTTCAACACATATTTTCAGGTCAGTATTTCTCCATTTCCTCCTCCTCCACTTCTAATCGTGCCTGCTGGACATTAATGATGGCCACCACAGGGTGATGCTCCATCTCAGCACAGCCACAACACACACACACACACACACTCACTCACTAAGCTTTATGCTTTAAGTATTATCAGGCAGAAAAATAATAATTAATTGCAATATGTAGAGTTAAGAAAACACACAATAAAATGTTTTATGCATAAATCTAATGGAAACAATTCACACACACACACACACACACACACACACACACACACATCTTAAATAAATAATAATGGAGCACAGCGGTGTGTCCTTAAAATATTTACCATATGCTTATTTATCTTCCAAATGAAAGTGCACAAACTTAACAAAGAGCTGCGGTGCAGTGTCGGCCTGTGTGAGTGTGTGTTTGATATAACAGCCTGTACTTTAGAGGCATTACGGCGCCCGCTGCTCTTGTTTTTTGTGTTGTTTCAATAAAGCTGGGAGGCCTCTCGGATGGAGCGCTGGCCTTTTTGAAGTGGTAATTACTCTGGTTTGTATCGCTGCTCGCTCTCTCTCCCTCTCTCTACCTCTCACAGCCTCTGTATCCTGTGTGCTTTTGGATAGTTTTGGTTTTTGGCGTGTGTCTGTGTGCCTCCACGTCCTTTCAGGCCTATTAAACACACACACACACACACACACACACACACACACACACACACACACACACACACACACACACACACACACACACACACACACACACACACAGTAAAAAGGTAAGAGTAAAGTAAAAAGTCAAATTAGGTTTTGCAGAGTGACATGTTGATATTTAATGAAGAGAAACTCAGGTGTCGCACTGATTAAAAATTTCAAACAATCTCTGCACTGTGTTGAACATATGAAGATAGAGAAGCACAATCTGTGACCAGTGAGTGTGCCTTTGCAAAGAGTGGGTACATTAGTGTGTACTCTACACACTAACTAGCTTAGATCTGCCTGTGTGTGTTTGCGAGAGTGTGTGTGCGCGTCTCATCCACTTCTTCTAAATTTTGCTTTATGTTTCTTCTGTAAATCCAGCATCCTGGACACAAACCAGACACCTAGAGCAAAAACAAGTGAGACATGAAGGCTGAACTAGAGAGGGGTGGGGGTGGTAGAGAGAGGGGTGGTAGAGAGACATACGGTAACACAATGAGAGAGAGAGTTTTCACTATTAATAGAGCATAAAACGGCAAAGCAGCATCTCATTTGCTTCTTAGCATTTTCAAAATCCTTTTTTGCGATTTTCGCCTCGTCGCCTCTCTGCCACGTTAATCACTTTGCACGCACTCATTTAAATATTAAATTTTTTTTAATCATCAAAGCCAGTGAACATCATGCATATTCATATCATCTTACCCTCCCTCCCCCTCTCCTCCATCCCTCCATCCCCTGGATCTCAGGTTCATTACTCTTCTGTGTAGCCATTAGCCACTTCCCTGATCACACAGTTTACGTACTAGCCTGCGTA